TCATTGCTTCGAATTGAATTTTCATATCAATTTTTATACGTAACTTTTTCTTTTAACCACATGTTTTTGCTTGTTTTGCTTATTTCTCTTATCACAGGTATTGAAGCCTCTGGGTGACAATTTGATGGAGGAAAACATAAAGCAGTCTGTAACAAACTCTATCAAAGCAGACCTGACTAGCCAGATGTTTCATGCTAGATGAGAAAGGCAGGCTAATGGGCCAGTTGGTGGTGTGGTGATTAAGGTGCTGGATTCCCACATGGTCAGCTGCAGTTTAGGTCCTAGGCCTGGTGGCTTGAAAATCGCAACAAGTAAATAGAGAAATTAATGAAAAATGAAAAAGACAGACTGATAGTTCATCTCCTCATGGACGCTACTGTCTCTCTTTTTTTCATGCTTGTTGTACAATGAGAGCTCAAAATAAACTAAAGTTTACAACCACATGTAGAAGTAGTTTAGTATAGTTGGATTCACAGATGGCTGCCACAAAGTGAAAACTGTTTATTTTTTTTATTTTTTTTTATTTTTTTGAGATGTTTTTATTATAAGGAGCATGTGCTCGCCATAAAGACACAGAGAGAGAGACAGAAAGCGAGAAATCACCCCCTCCCCAGGGGGGATGGCCACGCTGCAATCCCTTCTCCTCCATTTTCCTCTCGGGATCTTGGGCACGCATACACATGCGCCCAGCGTGAGTTTAAGCCACCGGATCCGGGAAGCGAACCACGGTCGACTACATGGGAGTCCAGCGACATAGCCATTACGCTAGCTGCTGGTCCCAAAAACTGGTGGATTTAAGCATTTCTTTTTTTTTTTCTTTTTTGAGAGATTTTTGCTGTAGAGAGTGTGTTAATGGCTTTTCATGGAGATTGACTGAAGAGCATTAGTTAATCATGTGCTTTTGCACCATATTTAATTCTTTTTTTTTTCTTTTTAATTAATCTAATGTTAGTGAAATTTGTCTCCTGTAAAAATATTTTCCAATGAAATTTGTTTATGCTTTTGTTTTTTAGGTTTTTGCCTTAGGCAAAAGAGAGAAGCAGAGAGAGAGAAACCGAGAAGTCATCCCCCTCCTAGAGGGATGGCCATGCTGCAATCTGTTCTCCATTCTCCTATTGAGATTTTGGGCATGCATCTACATGTGCCTGGACTGATTTTCAAGCCAGTATGTGTGGGATTCGAACCATGGTTGACCATGTGAGAGTTCAGCACCTTAACCACCACACCGCAATATTTTAAGAAATCTATTTAAAGTCTCTTTAGCACAGTGTCCCATTGACATTTTAATTTTTAGAGAAGTTATGAATCGCTTTATCAAGAATAAGACCAGAATGACAATGAAGCCTGTACTGAGCCACTATATTAAAAGTATATATTGCTGGGGCCAGCAGGTGGTGTGGTGATTAGGGCTCTGGACTCCCACATGGCCAACCACGGTTTGAGTTCTGGACATGGTGGTTTGCTTTCTCACTTTCCCCATCTCTCTCTCTCTGGTGAACATACATGCCCTATAGCAAATTTTAAAATAATAATAATAATAGGGAACCAGCAGTTAGTGTAATGGCTATGTCGCTGGACTCCCACGTAGTCAACCGCGGTTCGTGTCCTGGACCTGGTGGCTTAAAACTCATACCAGGCGTGTGTGCGTGCGTGCCCAAGATCCCAAGAGGAGAATGGAGGAGAAGGGACTGTGGCATGACCATCCCCCCAGGGGGTGATTTCTCACTTTCTGTCTCTCTGTCTCTGTCTGTCTGGCGAGCGCACGCGCCCTATAGCAAAAAAAAAAAAAAACCTCTCCAAAAATAAAAATCATAATAAATAAGATTAAATATTTTAAAAACTATATATTATTTTACTGCCTTCAATCCCAGTATTGACTAAATGCATGATCAGAAACTTCACAGATATTACATGACAACTTTTTTTTTTATGACAACTCTTGTAGTCAAGAAAGTAATTCTGAGGTATATACTTGTCTTCCCTTTTACAATTTATGAACTTGCCCTAAAAGGTGATATATATTTGGGAAAGTTTAGCTTTCATGTACATAAAATATGCCATTAATTTTATTGGGGGAGAAATTCCATCCAAAAATGTTGTGTACAGCTATGAGTTAAGAGCGTCTATACAGTGTTTTAGCTTTTATTTTTTAAAAGCACATATAGAGCATGTATATGAACTATAAATATGTAAATATGAGTTTGTATTAAGAGTTTTATAGTTTATGGCAAAATCTAGATCTGTGGTAGGTTAAATACAGTCCCTGTGGAAAGAACGTCTGTGGCTCATGTCAGTGTGTAAATGCATAGACAATTTGAAATTTTTTAAAAAATATATTTGTGATTTTCCCCTATTTTTTTTGCCATAGGTGCATGTGCTGGCCACAGAGAGACAGAAAGAGACAATGAGAGGGAAAGTGAAAAATCACCCCCCCGGGGGACAGCCATGTGACAGTCCCTTCTCCAGTCTCTTCTCTGGATTTTATATACGCACACACATGCACCGGGTGTGATACTCAAGCTGCAACTTCTGGGACTTGAATCAGTCAGTCATTTGGGAATCCAGTGCCTTAACCACCATGCCGCCCGGTGGCTTCAATATATTTGTAATATTTATCTTCCTTGAGCACTGCGATATCACACCCCCCCAAGGAAATTCAATGGGAATGTTTATTGTGACTCTGTCCTCTGCTATATTTTAAAGTTATTTCCTGTCATTTATTTTCAATCATAATTAAAATTTTGTTGTATATATTTTAAAACCCCAATGACAGAAGTCCTAGTGTTGTGGTATCCACGCTACAGCCGATTTAGGGACACAGACAGGAAAGGGGACACATAGCTGGTCTGTGGTCCAGCAGAACTCACACTCAGACACTCAGATCTGGCAGCCATGTGTTACCCGCTATGCTCCCACCTCTGCAGACGCTTCTTTCCACCAGAGTCAATTCAGTGTCTCCAGGAGCAACTAGTGGAAGGGACTGCACTTTGCTTAGTAGTGTCCTCCGAGCAGGGACCTGTCTTTTTGGTGTAAGAATCTCCCTGTGGCTTCTCTGCCAGTGGAGTTTGAAGCCCTGCAGAGGTAGCTGAGTCTTAGCAAAGTTTGCCAGAGATGATGGTTTCTAAGCTTTTGCCTGAAGCCTCTCACTTGAGCATCCAGTAACTAGCCTTTTTGTTTTTCCCGCGACTGAGCCAGACAGAACAGTCTTGGACATATTTTTTTCATATGACTGAATGACTGAATGATAGTTGTCACCCTTTTCCCTTCTACTTTCTTATATTTTATTTCAGTCAACAAATTTGATCTTTTTTCCCCCAAATTTCAGAATTTTCTTGGCTTTGAATTTTATAATCAATTATAATCAATATTTCTTCCAGCCCCCAATTTACCTAAATCTTTGGTGAGGCACCTAAGGCACTATAGTTGATAGCGTGGGCTCTGCAGGCCGACCCTCTGTGTTCAGATTCTGAACTATGCTTACTAGCTCTGTTTGTTCAGAAAAAGAATAAATTCTAGTGATTTGAATGTACATTTGGGCTAGACTTACATCCCCAGTTCGCTCTATGTGCTTCATGTGGTGAGATGTTGAAGCATCTCCGATGCTGCTGCTGTTGTTGGTAGTGATGAAATGGTAGAATTATAATGGATATTTAAAAACTCTCCAGAGGGACCAGCAGTTGGCATAATGGATATATCATTGGACTCCTATGTAGTCAACTGTGGTTCAAGTCCCAGACCTGGAGGCTTAAACTCACGCCGGGTGCACGTGCATGTGTGCCCAAGATCCTGAGAGGAGAATGGAGGAGAAGGGATTGTGGTGTGGCCACCCCCCCCGGGGGGTGATTTCTTGCTTTCTGTCTCTCTCTTTCTGGTGAGTGCACACATCCTATAGCAAAAACCTAAAAACAAAACAAAACAAAACAAAACCTCTCCAGATACAAAGATAATAACAAGTAACATTAATAACAAGTAACATTTACAAGCTAATCTGTGGGATGCATTCACTCTTCTAAGCAGTTTACATTTGTGTGTCATTTAATGTTTATCTATTTTCATACCATAACGCATGTGCACTCATGGGAGAGAGACAGTGAGAGAGAAAGTTGAAATCACCCCCCAGAGAGGATGGCTGTGCCATAATCTCTTCTCCTCTTTTCTCCTCTGGGAATTTGGGCACACACACACACACACACACACACACACACATGCGCGCGCCTAGTGTAAGTTTCAAGCCTCTAGTTCCAGGACTCGAACTGCAGTCGGCCATGTGGGATTCCAGTATCTTAATCATCAGGCCACCTTTTGGCCCCCAGTTAATATTTGTAACAACCTGGGGGTGGATGGGAGGGAATCAAGGACGGGGGAGCATAAAACATTTAACGGACACAAAAATGGAAAATTATTTGCTGATGATGTGCTGGGAAAATCTATTTTGTATGTTGTAAAGATGTACAGTGATTAAATGTAAAAAATATGTAAGAAAATAAAAGGAAGAAGAGAGGAAAAAATGATAGCAACCCTATTAAGCAGACATTACACATGTCCTGATTTCACATATGAAAGCAAGTTCAGAAAGTTTAACAAATGTGCTCATGGCTATCTAGATGACAAGCTGTGATTCAAAGCCAGGCATTCTGGCCCCAGACTCTGTGCTCTTCACTTCTGCATTTAGCTTCCTTGGGCAGAGAAATAGTGGAACCGACATTTCAACCTGGGAACTCTGACTCCAGAATCCTGCCTACTTCACCACTATGATATGCTCTCATCGTCACTTGTATCTCATATCTAGCTCATTTAATTTGTAGATTTAGATCATTATCTATCATGGCTTCCTCTGGTAGGGTGTATTTGTAGTGTGTGTATTTGTTTTTGAGATCAATTCATGATACCTTTTGTCTACCCATCTCTTAGGTGACACCAGGTTAAAAACTGTGCAGGGAGTTGTGACACGTCTCTGCAGTGATTATGGCATGATCGATGAGTTGATCTACTTCAGTAGTGATGCTGTGATGGGCAATGTATTGCTGAAAGTTGGACAAAAAGTGACTGCAATAGTGGAAGAAGATGAAACAGCTTGCGGATTGAAAGCAGTCAAAGTAAGATTTATATGACTTTGGGGATTGCTTTTATTCCTGGGGGCCTTTCGACCTTGCTTCTATTTATTTAAACTCGTGAATGAATATAGAGAATGGAGAGTGGAATTTGAAGTCTAACTTTCTGGATTGTGTGGGACATCTTCGTAGTGGTTTCTGTTTACAAAAGTATAAATTTAGTATCCTTTTTTTAAGGTTTTTGTCATAGGATGCTTGCAGTCGTTGGCGAGAGATAGAGATGGTGAGAGGGAAAGTGAGAAATTGTCCATAGGGGGATGGACACAATCCCACAGCAATGCCTTCTCCTCCATTCCCCACCTGGGGTTTGGGGCATTCATGTAAATGCACCTGGGATGATCCTCAAGCTACCTAGCCCAGGGCTCAAGCCACAGTTGGCCATGTGGGAGTCCAGCATCCCAACCATCATACTACCTGCTGGCCCCTCAATAGCTTTCCCTTAAAAACATTTAAAATATGATAAATAATGGTACTGTTAGAGTCTATACCATCTTACAACTTCCTTTTCCACCTGTGTAATGATCTCTGCATTTGTTGAAGTGTAATTACTAGGTGAACAGACAAGCATTTAACGATTTTTAAAAAGTTTGTTTATTGGGGCCAGCTGGTAGCATGGTGGTTAAGGCAGCTGGATCCCACATGGCTGACTTCACGGCTCAAGTCCCAGACCTGGTGACTTGTGCAAGGCACGTATGCATGCATGCCTGAAATCTTGAGCGGAGAATGGAGCAGAAGGAATTGTAGTATGGCTATACCCCTTGTGGGGTGCTCTCTCACTTCCCCTCTTTTTCTTTCTCTCTCTCTCTCTCTGTCTCTCTTGGGCGAGTAAACATACCCTGTAGCAAATTTTAAGAAAAGTGTATTTATTTTTTGAGAATGAGAGACAAAGAGAGAACAGAGACAGATAGAGTTTCTCTCAACCAGGTCTTCACATGACGACATACCCTAGTCTCAGTTGGTGTGGATCATGGGCCAGATATGCATTTTAGTCATTTTTTACAAACAATTTTATTGAAATGTAATTTACCTACCATAAAATGATCTAGTTTTAAGAGTATAGTTCAGTGGGGCTAGCAGGTGGCATGGTGGTTTAGGCACTGGACCTTCACATTACCAACTGTAGTTCAAGTCCTGGACCTGGTGGCTTGCTTTCTCGTTTTCCCTCTCCCTGTCTCTCTCTGGTGAGCACATGAGCCCTATAGCAAACTTTTAAAAAAAAAATAATAAATAAATAAAGAGTATAGCTCGGGGGTGGGGGGCAACAGGTGGTATGGTGATTTAGGCACTGGACTCCCACATGATGATGGTTCAAGTCCCAGACTCAGTGGCTTGAAAATCACACCAGGCAAGTATGTGTATGTGCCCAGAATCCCAGGAGGAGAATGACAGAGAAGGAATTGCAGCATGGTCAACCTTTCTGGGGGGTGATTTTCCACTTTTTCCTCTCACTGTCTTTTTCTGTCTGTCTCTGGCAAGTGCATGCACACTATGGGGGGGGGGAATATAGCTCAGTGACATTTTTCTTTTGTTTTTCCTTTTTTTTTTTTTGAGTTTTTTGCTATAGGGTGCGTGCACTCACCAGAAAGAGACAAAGAGACAGAAAGCAAGAAATCACTCCCCAGGGGCGATGACCACACCACAATCCCTTTTCCTCCATTCTCCTCTCGGGATCTTGGGCATGCACACACACGTGCCTGGCGTGAGTTTAAGCCACCGGGTCTGGGACTCGAACCACAGTTGACTACATGGGAGTCCAGTGACATAGCTATTACACTAACTGCTGGTCCCACATTTCCAGTAAATTTACAGAATTACACCACCATTATCTCATTTCAGATAGTTACCATTTTAATGGATATAATAAAATCATGCTTAAACTTTATTGTACTGTTTGATTCTCTCAGTGGCAAGCTAAAAGAGCCTGTTGGCCACTATTGGCAAGCATAAAAATATTGTTAATCTTTTAAGTGATTGCCAGTCTGAGGAGTAGCAATCCATAACTTTATTTGTATTTCTTAAAGTGTTGATAAGAGTAAAGCAACTTCTATTTTATTAGAGATATTTATTTATTAGGGCCCTTAGAGCTCTTTGTATGTTCGGGAAACTACAACTTTGTTAAGAAACTTAGGCATTAATATTGTGCGAATATTTCTTCTAATACTTTTAACATTGTTTAATGGAAATTTTTATTGTTTTTGTTTTTGTTTTTGTCTTATTTTTGTTTTTGGTAGGAATTTAATTTTTGTATGCTATAAATGTGTCCATCATACCCACATGACTTTTGGTTTCAATAAGAATCCTTACAAAGCCATATTCCACTTCAAAATTTGCACATATATCACTTAGGTTTATCTTTGCAATTTATTTATTTATTTAAATATGAATATTCATGGGATCAGCAGGTGGCCTGGTAGTTAAGGCACTGGACTCCCTCATGGCTGACTGCAGTTCGAGTCCTGGACCTGGTGGCTTGCCTTCTCACTTTCCCTTTCATCTCTCTCTGGCGAGCACAGGTGCCCTATAGCAAAACTTAAAAATAATAGTAATAAATAAATAAAATAATAAAAAATAAATATAAATATTCAGTCTGAGATTGATTTGGATATAGCAATTGCGAGAAGGAGTCAGGTCTTGTCTTGCTAATGAATACTCTGTTATTCCCATACCTTTATTGCAGTAATCCACTTCTACTTATAGTTAAAATACTACTTGTATCATACACTACATTCTCACAATTTGAAATTGTGAGGAAATTCTCTTATGGATGTTAATTCGAATATGTTATCTAGTTCTGAAGGTCTGACCAAATGGTTTGAATTATTGGAGCACCATAACATATTTCATTGTTTGGTGGTCCGGTTTCCTTGTAAAAAATTTTGCCTATTTTTTTTGGAATTTTCCTGGCCATTCTCTCTTGTCGGTTTTACTGTTCTATTAAAATCATGTTTAGTGGCCACATTGCAATCTCTTTTCCTCCTTTCTCTTGGGATTTTGGACATGAATGTACATGTGCCCAGCGTGATTTTCAAGCCACTGGGTCTGGGACTTGAACAGCAATTGACCCAGTGAGAATCCAGTGCCTTAACCACCATGGCACCTCCTGGCTCTGGGATTTTAAAAATTTGTATGACTTTGCATTTATAGATTTAATTTAGGGAGATCTGACATGATCTTTTTTTTTCTCTCTTAAAAAGCATGTCTCTCCTCTTTATGCTTCTGAATTTCTGAATTGTTTTACACTTTTCTTTGAAAAAATTCTGTATAGTGCCTGCAAAATTTATTTCCCAGATTTTTTTTTTTTAGTTTGCTATAGGGCATGTGTGCTTGTCAGAGAGAGAAAGGAACAGAGAGGGAGAGTGAGAAATCACCCCTCAGAGGAGATGGCCATGTTGCATTCTCTTTTCCTCTGTTCTCCTCTCAAGATTTTGGGCATGTATGCACACATGCCCGGCATGATTTTCACGCTACTGGATTCAGAACTAGAACCTCTCAGTTGGCCATGTAGGACCCAGCAGCCTTACCTTCCATGCCATTTGCTGTCCCATTTCCCAGATATTTTTTTTAACTGCCAGAGAGTCTGTATGGACAGAGAGGGAGAGTGAGAAAGCACCCTACAGTGGGGTGTGGTAGTGTCACAATCCCTTCTTGATTTTTCCATCCTATTAGGATTTGGAGTATGCATGCACACATGCCTGGTATGTTTTTCAAGCCACTGGGGCTAGGATTTGAACTGTGTTTGAACACGTGTAATATGGCTCCCTTAACTACTAGAGTATAGGGTTGCTTTCCTGCCCAATAGAAACGTTTGGAAACTATGGACTTTATAATATACTGACAGTGGCTTATCATTTGTTATCAATGTACTGTACCAATGCAGTACGCTAGTAGGGGAAAGTATGAATGGGAAGGAATATATGTGGAAATCTTCTTTCTATGCTTTCTGCTCAGTTTTCTTAAATTACTTTTAAAAATAACGGGAAAAGATTAAATCAGGGCAATTAGTATATTGTTAAACTGAGCTAAACTGGCCTAAGCTAGCCTCTGTACTTCGGTGATAAATTTGGCCCAAAGCAGTCTCCATATGAAGTTTTAACCTGGCAACCCAGCAACTGAGCCTCAGCCAATCATAGAAGCCAGGATTTAGCCAATCACAGGCTGCCAACTGTTCAGATCATGACCACATCTGACAAACGACAACCAACTGTAGCCAGTCAGGTTGTTTTTTTATGTCCCTTAGTTTTTCTCTGGCTATAAATCTAAGCTACTGATGGGGTTGGGCAGAACGTTCTCAACTAACTTTGATGAAGTGTGCTTTCCAGTTCTAGAACCTCTCTCATACATTTAGTATGCTAAATTTAATTGGTCTCTGAATTTTTTCTAACATCATCACCTCAAACCTTGGTCCTTAGATGTTGGGAATGGTAAAAATCCTCTTTTAGCTGTTCAGAGATACACGGTAACATAGCTATAACCATCCCACTATACAACACTAGAAATTATTCCTTTTACATAGCTATAATTTTTATGTATAATTATTATGTCAATTAAAAATTCAGCTGATAAAATTTTTAAAGAATTAAAGGGAAGGGGTCAGCAGGTGGCATGGTGGTTAGGGTGCTGGATTCTCACATGGCCGACTGTGGTTCAAGTCCAGGACCTGGTGGCTTGAAAATCACAGCAAATAAATAGATAAATAAACAAATAGATGTTGAAAAAAGAACAGAGTGAAAAAGATATGATGCTCAGGCATTATTTTAACAACTCATGTTTGTCAGCTGAAATATGCTCACCAATGTTTATTATACTAGTTTAAACTATTTCTTGAATAACTAATTTCAGAATATGTTGCTGATTTTTAAACTTTTGTTGTGTTTGAAGTATCTGATTTGTTCTTTTAGGTGGATGCTCTCTGTGATAATTTTCATGGTGATGGACCATCAGACTCCCATACAAGAACTACATTTGGCTGTATTACCTCTCTAACGGATAGTGCTTACAACATTAATCACACAAGTTACTTCTCTCTAGATGTTGTTTGTAAAGGTACAATTTATATTTTCTTAAATTTAAGATGAGGTCTTACCTATTTTAAAAATTATGTTGATTAGATTTGGATGTGGGTAAAAGCATCAGTTCTCAGGTCAAATTTAGAGCATGATTTTGATGAGAGGACTTTAGTACTAAAAGTACATTTTCAGTATACTTGGCTTTAATCAGTGGCTCTTTACTGTTTGAAGTGGACCTTTGCATTTGAGAATGATGTATAGCAAGGGAAAGATACATAAAGATACATATAAATATAAAGATTTTTTTAATCCTATAATTAGTTTCATTTTAATTTATTGGATATAGTTACTAATATTTGAGTAATTTAAAATTCACTTAAGTATAGAAAGCAGATTAGTGAAGACCTCTTGGGGGAGGTGACACTTGAGCTGAGACTGGAAGGATACAAAGGATCCAGCAGGAAAATATTCCAAACCAGGAAGAGCTGATGTAAAAACCCTGAAGTGGAAAAATCTGACATGTCTTAGAAACTGGGGAGAGGACACGGTGGCTGGAGTGTGATGAGTATGTGTGCTGTGGCTTTAATGGGGGATGAAATGGGATGGGGATTGTCAGTGCCTGTAGGATCCACATGGTGTATTAATAGAATCTGGTCCTATGTTAAATACATAACTAATACTCTCAGGTTGAACCTTATCAAGACCCTTCTGAGGGGGACCAGCAGTTAGCGTAATGGCTATGTGGCTGGCCTCCCATGTAGTCGACCGCAGTTCGAGTCTCGGACCTGGTGGCCAAATAACAATCCCTTCTCCTCTGTTCTCTTCTTGGGATTTTGTGCACGCATACACATGTGCCCAGTGTGAGTTTCAAGCTGCCAGGTCCAGGACTTGATCCATGGTCAACTACTTGATAGTTCAATGACATAACCATTACACCATCTGCTGAGGCCATAAAATAAATAATTCTCTAATTTTTTAAAATATGACTGTATTGGGCTAGCAGGTGATATGATAGTTAAGGCACTGGATCCACATGGCTGACTCCACTGTTCAAGTCCCGGACCTAGCAACTTGACAAATACACTGGGTGCATATGCGTGCATGCCCAAAATCCCAAGAGGAGAATGGAGAAGGGACTGTGATGTGGGTATCCTCCCCTGGGGATGATTTCTCACTTTCCCTGTCTCTGTCTCTCTTTCTCCAGCAAGTGCACATGCCCAAAAGCAAAACAAAACAAAACAAAAAGAACAACAACAAAAAACTTTAAAAAATTTTTTTAAAGTTTATTTTGATACAAAAAATTTTAAATCCATGCATAGTTTTTTTCATACTAGACATTTTGCATGAACTTTTAAAAAAAATAGAATCCTTTTTTTCTTTTCTTTTTTTTAAAAAATTTTTTAAAAAGTTTTTATTTATTTATTTTGCGCATATATGTGCCTTGTGTGTTTCAAGCCACTGGGTCTGAGACTCCATCTGTGGGCAGCTAGGTGGGAGTCCAGTGCCATAACCACTATACTACCTTTTGGCTTCTAGAATTCTCTTTTTTTTTTTAAACAAAAGAAAACAAAACAAAAACAAACAAGTTTTCTTACTTTCATAAGACTAAGAAACTGAGAGAGAGAAAGACAACCCTCCTCACAAGTCTCATGAATAGGTCAGCTGGGGAATTGAACCTATGGTCATCCCTATGGATTCAACATAGATTGAGCAGCATCTTACCTCTGCATCACCAAGCTGGCCTGTCCATGAACTTTTTGAAGACCCTTTGTACACTTTGGAGTTATCAAGCTTACGGATATTATGTAAAGCCATGTAAAAGAGGTATTAAAAAATAAAACAGAGAGAGACAAGAGATTCAATGCATGTCTTGAATCATTCTGAAATTTAGTGGTAATGGAAATGTGGAATAAGGAAAGGAGTATGGATGAATGAAGAAATTCTGGGTATATGGTACAGAAATGTTTAACTTTAGTAGATATTGCCAGTGAAGTGTTTGTAGCAATTTATATTTCTAGTATCAGTATATGAGAATTACATTTGCTCCAAATCCTCCCTAGTACCTTTATATCTTATGACAAACTTTTAAATTATTATAAAAACTAAATACTGGGGCCTGCAGGGGGCATGGAGGTTTAAGCACTAAATCCTATGTGGCCAACTCTGTGATTCAAGTCCTGGATCTGATGGCTTGGAAACCATGCATGCATGTCCAAAATCCCAAGAGGAGAATGGAGAAGAAAGGACTGTGGCATGGCCATCCCCTCTGG